TGCTGCAGCTACGGCGCATTTTTTCTCTCCGATGCTTGTGGGAGAAAAAAATAATTTATGTGTAAACGTATATATATATATTTTAAAGTTATTTATGTTTTTCTTACGAAGTCTGAGGCATGTTTTTTGTTTTTTTTGAGCACTCCGCAAAAATAAGTGTTTCACGATAACTCTGGTGTTTTAGTTACCAGCAGTTGTTTGCAGTCATTGGGAGCAGCGCTAAATCTGTGCTGCGCCCTGCAAGAGAGGCGAACTCGTGCTCCTGTTTTTAAATGTGTGTTTAACCAACGCCGTTCTCTTCAACAGCTTTATGTTTTATCTCACTGAAGTAACAAGACGGGGGGAAAATTAGATAGTATTATCAAAGCGGCAGACTTTACCTCTGTATCGCTGAACTGTCAAAACTTCCTTTGAAGCACTATTAAACAGACTTTTTTTTTTTTCTGTCTAACTTATAAGTGGCTTTTTTCTTTTTGCATGTGATAAAGGCTGAGAAAGTATCGTCACAAAATAATAGCTCTTACTTATGTCTTGTCTCTGTGTGGAAGTATCCTAGTCCAGTGATAGCTATTTAATTAAAAGTGTAGTTTAGCTTAAATGTAAGAGTGTTGTCACAAAATGCAGGAAGATGGGAGAGTTTTTTTCACCTTTATCTCTCCTGAAATGGGTGGATTTGGACTATTGCAAGGAAATAGGGGTACCTTAAAAGCTGGAGACCCTTGTGGCACAGCCTCTGGTGAAGCTGTGGGTGAGACAGTGTTCAACTTTGGGTCTGCCTTCATTACTCTGTCTTAATGGAGGTGTATGAGAAGTGTTCAATAAGCAGGGACTATTCCCAGGAAGTTTGTTGGTAGTAGGCTATAGCTAAAGCTCTGCACAGATGTGCATACGTTGTGTGCATGCCAATGGGTGTAAACATGATATATATATATATATGCATATATCTGCATGGTCTTATGTGTGTATGGGTATGTAAATATGAACATATACCTAAAATGAACTGGAGAGAAATACTCTATATAAAATGCAGTGAAAATTAAATCCTCTTTCCCATCCTTAGAGCTTGTATTCACTACAGTAATTCACAGGGCCTAACCCTGTCAGTAAAAGCGGGTAACCTATAGTTACCTATAACGCTTCTTAATTTAGTGTGAGAAGAATTGGTTTGGATGTTTGTATTCTCCTAGCCCCTTGTAAGGGCAGGAACTGCATCTCTCTCTTTTGTTTGTGCCTGTATGGTGAGTGTCCTTTATTTTGAGAGTTTGGGCTGGTAACAAGAAGCAAGTTGCAGAGTTTGTGCAGGATACAGCAAATGATTCTTGTTTCTTTTAACTTTGTAGCTACTGGAGCTGATGGTGACCTCTATATAAACCAAGCTGTAGTATTTATTGAAGATGCCATACAGGTCAGTTTAACTTGTTTCCTAGCCATTATATTTTCCATGTTGGATACTTGCTATGCCTTCTTGCTTTTAGATATTCCTCTGTTCAAGCAGCTTCTGCATAACATGATCTTGTTTCACAAAGCAAAATCGGAATCCTGTATTCCTTTGATATGCAAGTTTCAGTGAACTTCTACTTAGGAAGAACATGTTTTTCACACAGTAATTATGTTGAAATATACAGTATCTTCTCCTTAAAGTTATTGATGCTGGTTTGTTTTTGTTTGTTTAAGAGTCACTGGCTATATTGTTATGGGAAACTAGCTGAGCAAGCCCTGTAATTAGCCTCTAAACCCAGCTACTTGCATAACTTAAGAGCTGGTGCATTATGAGGTTAGCTGCAGGCAAGGCAATGGAATTTTATTGCTTTATTTGAGCCTATTGCCTCTGGAAGCTTTTCTTCATCTTCTTTTGCCTTTGTTTGTATAAATAGGCACTTTTTTGTTTATTCTTAAATCCTATTACCTTCCCTTCCTGACATTAGCTGAAACGGCGGGAATGCTGGAAGACATTTCTTGAGCTCTACTGATGTATTCAAACAACTTTTCTCTCGGAGACTTCTAAGGATCATCAGATGCATTTAAGATGTGCTTGTGTTTCTAGAGCTGGCACCTCTCAGGAGGCAGAATAAGCATAGCACTGGAGCAGATGCACAGACTATGGCAGAAACTGTTCTGAAGGACAGGCCCTTCCTTAAGGCATCTTTTGTTTGGGTGCTTAGGTTGAAATCCAGACTAGGTCTTGTTTTCAGAATTAAATGGTTTGCATTTTGCAGCTTCTTGAGTGGTAAAGACTAAAGATGATCCTTGACTGGAATGAGTGCTGGAGAATGGAGCTAAATGGCTGTACCTCTTCAGCTGGGAGACTAAAAAGCAGGCTCTGAGTAATTAACTGCAGTTGTTGTTTTTTGTAAAATGATGGTAGTAACATTTGTCTCAGGTGGCTGCAGCAATGTTGAATTATCTGAGCAGCTGTTACTGTGTGATACTTGGGTTAAGAAGGTGAAATCACCGGGTGGATGCCATGTAAATAATATGTACAGTTACTTCTGTATCTTACTGTGAAACCAGAAGTGCGTCAAGATTTGAGCTGTTGATTAGAGTTTGGTTTATGTTGTAAGTTGATCCTCCTCTTTGAGGCGTAGGCCAAATGTAATATTTGAATTATACTTTTTGCTTTCTACTTCCAGTATCGGTCTATAAATCACCGTGTGGACTCCAAATCCCTGTGGCTTTATCGATGGTATTACTCAAGAATTTGTCAGTGGTGAGAACTTGATATTCTTTTTCCATTTCTAGTTTAGAAGCAAGTTTTAAACAATTTATTCTTCACATCTCTGTCAATTTATCAGGTAATCATGTTTTTATCCTTTAATTCATTTAGCAAGCTCTTTAAATAGATGGTTACATATGCATGTGGTAGAAGCAGAAGGTAACAGGACATGCAAAGCTGTGGTCCTGTCAATAGCTCTGTGGAATGCTGTGGAATGGTTCATGTTTGACATAAGTGGTGGGTTTATAGCCTCACATGTTCAAATTTGTCAAGTTTCCCTTTCTAGTGATGTTGTATAGCAGTAAGATGGTATTCCAGTGTGAGTTTCAAAAAGAGTGCCACCTCGTATTTGATTGTCAGTGTCTTAACAGATGAAGAGCACGGCATTTTAAGTGTTGTGTTTTGGTGTTAGTCATTTATGCGACATATACCATTATGAAAATTGATATTCTAACAAATTTGCTGTACTCTGTTGCTTTGGCTGATATGTCCATATGTGTGTTTTTACCTGTATCCAAACAGGATTTTGAGTTTAACCATCACTATAATCCTGGCTTTGGCTTTTGTTGAAAAACCTTCTTCACTTACTGTCACATCAGATGTACGGTATCGCCACCCTCCATGGGATCCCCCGTGTGGTCTAACAGAAAGTATTGAGCTGCTTTGCTTCCTTGTGTTTGCGATTGATGTATCGGTGAAGGTGAGTGTTGCTTCAGTCTGGTGTTGAAATATTAAGTTTGCTGGGCAACTGAATATAGACAGTCAATGTATTTTTTCCTCATGTTTATGTATTAGGAAAATGGCTTAGAAGTACTATGCATGTTTCATATTTGCATGATGAGGTTGCTTTTGGGCAATTATAATAACTATACATATTTGGAAATGTATCAATTCTGACTATGTTGAAATTTATTATTAAAACACTTTTTTTTCCCAGAGTTATTTAATTGGATGGGAAGAATTTTGCAAGACTAAATGGCTGATGGCTTATATCCTGACATTAATTGTTTCACTTGCTGATTGGATTGTATCACTGAGCTTTTTTTGCACGGAGGTAAGAGCTGCCTGCCACAGGGTTGCTATTGAGAGAGGCAGGAGGAGGCAAGGTTTCAAGGGCATACTCAGTAGTAGGACTTGTGTGATATGGTGGTAAATGGAGGGTGAAATCGTTCATTTTAAGGCTTTGGCTGGGGAATATTTAAAATTCATCTGTAAAATTAAATAAAGACTTGTTATAACTGGTCTGTTAGCATTTAAAAAAAAAAAGAATCTAGTTGCATAGCAGAAATTTTGTCATACAGTTTGAGAGAATTATGTTCTCGACTTGATTTAACTGCAGAGTCTGAATGTGTAAATGTAATGAAAATGATATCCCAGTAAATATAATTGCAAAATAACAACTCCTTTCTAAGAAAGAGCTGTCATGTTCAAAACAGTTGTAAGGTTTTCAAGTCACTATCAATGGTCTACCAATATCTTTCAAACCTTTTTGCAATTTGTCTGGATTAGCAACTGCATCCAACATGATCATGGTTATTTTGATAGTCCACTGTTTAGTTTTTCTGTGCTTTGGTGGTCACTGTTGACCAGGATGTGATTTTAAAAAAAGAAAAAGGTCATCTTAATGTCAGAAGAACATATGGCTTAAGTTCATAAGCACCTAATTTACTTTGAATGTATGCATGTGTCCTTTAAAGCAAAATAAACATAATGTGCCCAAAAGTAGTTGGTTAATTGGGCTGAACATTGTGTTTAGAGCAGGGAATGTGTCTTGGAAAGAAGGCACCAGGAAATCTTTCAGCATGATAGTAGGCAAATAAATGAGCAGGACCTTCCTCTACAAAGTATGGTAGAAGGGGTATTTTAAGTGTTGGCTTGCATGAATAAGGAAATAGTGAGGAAGCAGGTGATTTCTGGTGTTACAAATGGACTTAGTAAGATTGATAGTAAAATGCAAGATGTTAAAACATTTGAACATGCAGATGAGTCACAAATGGCTTAAAGACAAGAGAAAACATCTTGAATGCAGGAAAAGAACAGTTTAATTGCTTTAGCTTATGCTAAAGAAAATTGAGATGATGACCCTTTTGATTCTTGTCAGAAGGAGAGAATACTGGGTAATAAGACTGGGTACGTGCCTGTTAAGGGAGGAAAAAAAAGGGCAGGAGAAGAATGGCTGAAAACTGAAAATGGGACAAATATATTTTCAAAATGTCAAAGTAGCTTGCTGGTGATTCACTTAAAATGGACCTTGGCAGAATTTATGAAATGTCAGCTCTTGACCTTTGTGTTGTATTTATGCAGTAGTGAACTTGAATGATTTATGAATAGCCTCTATATTTATAAAATCTTCCTTGCCTTTCATATGACTTCAGTGGGACAGATTTGAGTAACTTTTCTGTAACATGGTTAACTTAATTCATGTGTTATTTCTTCTATTTGAAATAAACTTGCCTTAAAGTATTTATGATGCTGATCTTATAGGAAGTCGGTATTTGATCTGAGTGTGTTTGTTTTTTCTTTTTTCTCCAGACTGTGAGAATAAGAAGAATTCTTCGTCCTTTCTTTCTCCTTCAGAATTCCTCTATGATGAAGAAAACATTAAAAAGCATCAACAGCACTTTGCCTGAAATGGCAAGGTAGGTAATAGCATAAACTTGCTTTCACAGCAAGTGTCTAGTTGGCATTAGGATTTATAAATGTGTAATCTGTGTAACTTGATGGTCTGGCTGAAGTGTGTGGGTTGGTGAGATCTGATGATGACGGACTGCGGGTTGTGGGAATATCTTTAAGTTTTGCAAATTTCTCACTTGGAATATGCAATATGACTATGTTTAAATGGCAGATGCTTTTTTTGATGCTAATCGTGTGTTGAATTCTGTAGCGTTATATACAGCTTTTTATATGGAGGGAAAAAAATGAAGTGTCAGCAACCCAAAGCTCTACATCATGTTTTCCAGTACAGTCTTGTAGATGTAGGTGGAAAATGACACAAGATGCCTATTCACGCTCATCTTCTACAAAGTGCTATACTTGAGTGTTATTTTCTAAAGGGTTCTACCAATATGTGTTTAAATACTGTTGTCTTACTAAGACATTTTGAACCAGAAACCCAGCAGTGGAAGTCATAAGCAGAGACCATGATACTTTTTGAAGGGAACTTCCTGTGCATATTGGTTATTTATATGTGCGAACTACTATATGTACAAAACTACTTTTGTTACTTTTTTAACCAAATCCCAGGAAGAATCAAATGTGTATGCAAGCTGAGATATTGTATATTGATCAAAGACTTAAATATGGTCCTAGCTTTAGAAAAGCAGATGCTGGAATCATTGATCTCACCACAAAGTGATCCTGAAGGGAGCTGGGTTTTCTTTGTTTCTTTTTTCCCCTTGAATCAGGACCTAGATGATCTTCTGTTATCTCTAGTTAGTTTCTTAAAAATAGTATAGGGTTTTTGTATGTGTCCTTCTTGTCTTTACTAAAAGAGCTGATGTTAATGCATATGTTCTCTTTCTGATAGTGTTGTTCTGCTACTAGCTGTTCATCTGTCTCTCTTTACCATGTTTGCCATGCTGCTGTTTGCTCGAACAAAGGTAACTCGTCATATTTATGATGTGGTAGATCTGTGTGTGTGTGTGTGTGTGTGTGGGGGGGGGCGTTTCTCCTCTCTCTCCTCTTTCTCTCTTGTAACTGCTGCATTCATGGCTTTCTACTTGGACTGGTGAAATCTATTTTCTCTGAAAAGGTCATGTTATTTCACCAGACTTACTGAGATCAGTTTAAAGTCTGTTTAGAAGTTTTTTTTTTTTTAAAGTGTGCAGGTTACCTGTGCATATTGCTGTTTGTGAAGGTGTGCATTAGAAGGCCTCTCAATATCGTGCTATAATTTGTTAAACCTTTATCTGAGATTTGTTTTTTTTCCAGACTTTATTTTGCTTTTAAAGTGGAAACGCTTCCTACCCTGTAACTTTTTTCCACTCCTGGTGTACCATGTTATTTTAAAATTGGTCTAGCTCTGCTGCTTAGGGCAAGCCTGTATGGCTCAGTGCTACTATTCTGTCAGCCTTCTTATTTGCTTATGTTGGTGGTCTTTTGCATTGTTGCTATTTAGGTGTTAGTTGTGAAACTTGAAATCTGCTTGTAGCAGAGGCTCCCCTATGCAAAGCCCTTGCAGTTCCTTTCTTTGCTTCTGTTGAAACTTCCCATCCTGTTTTCTCCAAGAGTTTTCATGTTGTCACTTTTTTGTTTGTCCTGCTTTATTTATTCATTTTTTTTTCTTCTTCTTATCTATGCTCTTGTTTCATGTTGTCACTTTTTTTTGTCCTGCTTTATTTATTCATTTTTTTTTCTTCTTCTTATCTATGCTCTTGTTTCACTCAATTTCTTCTGTTTTTGTGTCCTGTAGTCTCCCGGTACTTGTTTCCTTGGCTGTGCCTTGCTAGTTTATCACCTTGACTGTCCTGATTTTTTTTTTTTTCCCTTCCTCTGTTTCTTCTTTGCATGTTTCCAAGAAGCCGATTTGAATTTTTGTGATTAAGATTTTTTTGTGTTCCAGTACTTTGGTATGTCACTATTCTCGTAATATTTTATGCATCAAACTTTTTTCCTCTCTTTTAAGACTTTCTATAAATGTGTTTTTATGATTGGCTAGATTTTGTTGCGTACTTCTCCCGGTAATATTTTTTCTCCTTATTCTCAATCTTGCATTCTTATTCTGATGTAATCTGCATTTAGGCTGCTACAGCTTTTCTGACGAGCAAGTTTCTCAAATTTGTGTATTGCAGGATTTCTGGAATTATAAGTGTTGAACTTTACCTTCCTTGCATGTAGTCACAGCATGCTGCTTTACAGTGTATGTGATCTAAACTACAGTGCAGTAAGGTGTGGGCTCACCTTGCACTCATACTTCATGCACATATTCACCTACTTCACTGAAAAGAGATCTAAAATTTGTCTGCAAATCTTGAGCTTTCTGTAATTCAAAATAAAGCTCTTGACTCATACATAGATGATCAGAAATAGGAGAAAATGCCTGTTCCAAGTAGTGCAAGTAGCTTTTATGTAAACAGCTAGGTTGACGGGTGTCAAAAACTTTCTCTTTAGAACTCAAAGGGGAAATGAAGGAGGCATAACCCATGCAGGGAGTGTACTAGTAAGGCTGCAGGTATCTGAGAGCATCCATTGAGCTGTACTCAAACACAGCAGTAACTAAGTTCTTTTGACTGAGGAGTTACCCAGTTTCAGCAGCTCTGTTTTGTTTATCATCTTTGGTATAGACTTTGATGTAAGATTGATTTTAATTCTGTTCTCAAATTGTAATGGCTTTGGACAAGTCCTAGAGAGCAGTGCAATTTAGGATTGTATTAATTTTTCTTCCACATCAGGGTGCAGCGCAGTATAGCTGGAATAAAAAGCATGCAGCTTTATAATGTGAGTTAAGACCAAAGATGGTGTTAGCGCATGTTCAAGGTCTGTTATGATTTTGATTATTATTGTGGCTAGGGGGTCCTGTTAGCTCCCTATACCCTAATAGTTTTTGCAGGCTGAGAAATAGTGGCTTTTGGCTCCTGTACTACTCACCTGTGACATAATTGTTGCCTTCCTGAGTCTGAGGTGTAGCTAGGCTTCACTTGTTTCAAATCTCCTGTGCCTCTGAGCTTGCTGTTTTTCCTTATAATTTAATAATCACTAATAAGTGAGGTGATCCGGCTCCATTCCTACTGGCTGAGTTTTGTGCTTGTCTTGTGATTTGTTCATGATTTAGATCTTTTTAAGAAGCACTTTTTTGTCTGATTTCTGTGGTAACACACAGTCTTAGTGATTCTTCAGTGCTGTTTTGATAAAGATGAACATCTCTCTGACTAGGATGGCCAGCAGGATAAAGAATGGGTGGGGTATTTTCGGAATTTACCAGATTCACTGACTTCACTGCTGGTGCTGCTAACTACTGCAAATAATCCTGACGGTGAGCCATCTGTTTCAGAAATACCTCTCATCTTTCTTCTATAAATAGTAGAGTAAGGTATCTCCAGGCTAACTGTATTTTGTTTTGTTTTTAGCTGATAGCTCTCCTCATTGCTAGAGGAATGAGTTCTGCAAATATGTCATCCCTTTAACTCTTAAGAGTTTTGTATTTCCTTTAGTATAACTTGTATATACAACTCTGAAGTGGAGCTGTGCAAAGTTTTTTGCCACTTTGCAAAAATAGGTAGAGGTCCCCTGCTTTTTTGCCTTAGCATAAAATTGTTTATTTCTTTTTTTGTCTTTTTGATACAGTGATGATTCCTGCATATTCTAAGAATCGAGCCTATTCAATCTTCTTTATACTCTTCACTGTGTTAGGTAAGTTGCCTCTTGTCTGCAGTAATTTAAATATACTGTAAACTGCAATATGACTTTACGCATATCAACTAAAGCTTTTTTTTATTTTTCTAGAAACATTTAGTCAGTTATTCTAGTGTCATTGAGGGGCTAATTAACTTCTTTTTGTTCAGAAGTGTATTGAAATATAGCTTTTGGAAATCCAACTCAGGAAACACAATAGTTTCAGATTTTAACATCTGATTAACTTGAACAGTGAAATGTCTTTTCAGCTCTTCATATGGTGGGGAGGGAAGTCATTTTAGAAGTCTTCATTAATATTGACTGCAACTATTTTTGGAGAAAGGATTGTTTTTGTAGCTTAGCTCATTGTTTGGGGAACATGCTTGATTTGTCAGCTAAGTGGGACTTTTCTGCGTTAGCAGTGAAACCTTTCTAATACTGTTTCAAAAGAGAAGTTAGAATCCATGTTTAGTACTTTCCAAAATGTGGAAATGCTGAATTTAATAGTGGCCTAAAATAAAAAAAAATATGATTTACCTTTGAGAATCAAAAATGTATTGCATTTTTCATTGCTTTTATTATTTTTTTTTTTCCAAAAGGGAACTTGTTTCTGATGAACTTGCTGACAGCAATAATATATAACCAGTTTAGAGGGTATCTTCTGGTGAGTATTCTTAATTTGTGTCCTACCTTTTGAACTGCAAAATTTTGTGTATTTTAAGTTTGAACTGTGTAATAATAAGCAATGTATTCATTCCTGTTGCACATACTGTTTCAAGAGACTAAAGTTTCTTTAGGTCAATAGTCATTCTTTAGTCTGGTATTGATTTCTTCCACATACGGTGTTGTACTACTTGCCTTTCTATAAGAACTACTTGCCCATACCCTTGTGCCTATGCTGAGAAGACTCTTATTAAAAACCTGATGTGAGTAAGGATGGCAAATGAGTTAAGCTTGGACTGTATGTGGAGAATCTGTTTTACTATTTTAATAGCTGCTGTTCTAAATCATAAAACTTAATTTCTCTCAGCAGCGTCGTATGAGAAGACTTCAATAAAAAAAGAAACAACCACCAAAATGACTCTTCCTTGTTTTGACACTTTACTTTGTGATTGCTGTGATGACGGGCATGATGATGGTGAATGTTTAGAAGCTGGATTTGAGACTTGTACTTGACTTTACCAGGAACAGTTGCCTATAAGCCATTGTATGTGGGTACCTGGCCTTTTGAACTAGGATTTCAGAGGAAACTTAGTGCAATCATAGCCTGTTTCTTGTGTGCCTAGGCAAGCCCTGATCTTTATGGGGTACTTGATGTAATTTGTAAGTAGTTCAAAACCACTGAATGGCTGCAAGACTTGAATTCTCTGGAAGTGCTTAGGCAGCATATGATAAGGAACTGCTGATCTTGTTGCTTAATCTTTCTTTCTGTACTATGATGTTAAAATGAATTGCTGCCTGATAGTGATTAATCCCTTTCAAGTAAGAGGAAAATGTGCTCACTCCATGTGATATGCTAGCATCATGGTTTTTATGGGTCTGGAAAATGCCTGATCATGTGTGATTCTTCCCTTTTTGTGGAGTGTCAATTGCATTTGTAGTGTAAAGAGTGTTCAGTGTTCTTTTTTCCTCTCTTCTCCCTATATATCTATATAGGAGAAGTGAGGGCTGAAGTAAGAGCACTTTGCAAATTGTGCAAACAGGAGTGAAATCTGTGGTGACAATTGATTTCTTGATTTTGAACTCTTTACTAAAAGAGTTCCTGTTCCTTTAATGAAAAGGTGTTGTGGGTTTTGTCACATTATTTACTTTAGTTGTTTAGAATTCATTGTGAATTAACAAATGTAATCTGGATTCCCTTTGCAGGAAAGGGTATAAGTGCTTTGGTTTCCTGGAAGAAATAGTCCAGTTGAGCAATCTGAGAGGACTTGTCATGAACGAAGACAAAAATATTTTAGGAAGCAGGGACAGTACAAGTCAAACGAAAGATTATCTTGGTTAGTTCTAATTATAAAGTGTGTCCAAGAAAACAAAACTTGTGAATTCATTTTCTGATACCAAAAAGAGGCAAATGATTGGATGAAGGATTGTAGCTGGAGGTGTCCAAAGCTGGGTTAATCACTGGTAGTGAATAGAAAACATGTGCATTGCAGTTTAGTGAATAAAATGCACTGATCTGATTTAACAGAATGGCAGGCTAGATATTAAAATGCTTGTCCTATAGAATTCCTTCAGCCCTTGAGAGCAGATGGGCAGAGAAGTGGTGACCAGGACTTGGGGGAAAGTGAAGGGGAAGCTGCTCCAGGGAAAAGGTGATGTTTGGATAGTAAAACCTTAAGCAATGTTAAATTGGGAGGGACAACCTCCATCTTCCTGTGGGAGAAGTATTTAAATATGCAAAGAATGTGTGTGTGTGTGTGTTTTTTTTTTTTTTTTTTCTTCTCTCTTCTACCTGTTCCTTCCCTTCCTTCCTTTTTCTCTTTCCCATGTGAGAGCATAGCCCAATCTGACTTCCAGTAAGGTAACTGAGAGGCATATTGAAAGTGTTTACCATGAAGAATTTAAGTACAAAAAAACTGGTGCATCTGACTTTTGTATTTTGTTAAATTTCAGGTTGTTTAACTCTTGTCTGTTCGCAGTAGTCAACTTTGGAGCCATTGTCTTTAAAAATGCAGGCCAAAACTAAAAATAAATCCTGGCCCGGATGTTTGCTTGAACTTGCCTGCTTGTTCTCTTCCTTCCTTCTGTGTATGCAGAGTTCTTGGAAGGAATGAGTGCTAGCAGCTCTTATTCTTATCTCCAATCTTAAGTCTGAGGGAGGGGCCTTCAGAGGATGAATTTATCAGCTGATCAGTGGCCCTAATTCTGCAGGGGGAGAGGAGAAGCCCTGTCCTTCTCCAAGGCCCCCTGGTAGGAATGGGCATTGTTGATTTCAGCCCTTGGTTTAGTGGAATTCCTTTAAAATGTAGAAGGCCTATCCAGTTGGACCGACTGTATGTGCAACTAACTGTATACTATTTAGTGGTGGGGTTTTTGGAAGAGGGGCAAAGAAAGTAATAGTTTGCTCTCCTGAAGATTAGTTATACAAATAAAAGCTATACTGAGGCTTGCAGCAGGTTTTGTCTGAGGGCTGGGCAAATAATTTAGAAGTCTTTTAATTCCACCTAATTGGATTTCTTTTAAGCAAAGTTGTTTTTTTTTCTTGGTGTTTCTACTGTGCAGAAATCTGTTCAGTCCTCCCTCTTCAGGAGGCGTCTAGGAATCCGGGCTGCATTTGAAGTACTCTGCCCCCTGGAAGAGACCCCTGCTAATGAACAAGAGTAAGTGATGGATTTTACAACAGTAGCTAACCAGGGATGAAATAGTAGCTTTTTTTGGTCCTTTAGTTTAATGTACTTATATAATTGCCAAGAATGCCCACATAGGGAAATAACAATTTACAGCTTCCCTCTGCCCCTCTCCTTCCCCATCTCTCTTATAGATGCTTATGTTCAATAGCCTTTGAAGCTATTTCTGGGACTCTTATGGGTTCCGTTTCCTGTTTCTTTCTACTTTGATCTGTTTTTGGGGAGGAGGGGAAGAAAGGTGACATTTGCATCTGGAACAGCCATTTTTGTCATCAGGACAGATGCTCCTCTGTTTCAGGGTGTCCAAGTCAATCATCTTTTCTTTTAAATAGGTTGTGTGTCAGTGTTGGGGACTTATTTCAAGTGCTGCAGAAAGTTGAAATGGATTCTCGTTGCAAGCAAGCCATTATAAGAGTAAGACCTGAGATTTCTTAATACTTGTGTTGGTGACTGTCAAAGCTTCTGGTGGCAAGTTACTGATGAAGCAAGGCATGCTCAAGATTGTTACCTCTTGGAGTAGACTGTATTACATCCATGTTCCTTGTGGGTGTGGTGGTTGGTGGTGGGGAGAGAGAACATGAGGGTGTTGGCACTGTCTGTAAATATATCTAATGCAGGTGTTGCTCTGAATTTTCTTTCATGTGAAGTCACTTAAAACATCTTCCTGTGACCGGCTGTCAGCTGCTCAGTTTCAGAAGCTCTTTGAAGAACTGGACAAAGATGCTATTAAACAAGTATGTATCTGACAACTACTTATGAAATGTAATAAGTGGTTTAGCTTTTTGTTTAATAGGATGATTAGTTACAAGAAAGGAAGAGGAGTTAGAGTTTCATCATGCACTTCTGGGAAGTGTTGTGAACAAATAATAAGTATGTTTGTAGGCAGTTATTTTCCAATGAATTGACACATTTGTGTTCTTGCTAGGGCAATCCTGTATTAAACACAGGCAATGCACTTCCCTTGAATGGGGCTCCTTAATTGCTCTCTTGAAGGTGGACAGGAAATGGTGTTCTCAACTTGGAGAAAAAAAAAATTCAAGATTTGAGGTGTACTGTATTGGATGGGAACTAAGAATTCTAAATCTCTTAAGGGAAGATGAGTAGTGGGAAAGGGGTAAGAGATGTGTAAAACTACTAACCTGGTGGTTAGTTTACCTCCTTGGGCATGGGAGAAGTTGAGTTACTTGCTTTTGGGGTGTTGTGTGTTGTAATTGCCAACCTATTGGCTCTTCAAAAATGCTATCTCTTGCTAGTGATAGCCAAAACTGGAGAGCACCTACTTATGTTCTCAGACCTAGTGTGTAGTCTTGGAGTTTTGTTTTGAACAGGTCTGTTTCTTTACTGTGACTTTTTTTCCGTGTCAAGTGCTTATGGTCTCAGCAAGTCTTATATGCTCTTCTTTACAGCATCCTCATAGCCCAGAGTACCAATCACACTTTATGCAGAAACTGCAGTTTGTCTTTGGCCATTCTTACTTTGGCTACTTGGGGAATGTGGTAGCCCTTGCAAACATTATTTCTATATGTGTAAGTATATGTAAAACACTTTTCCTCTCCCTGTGAATTTCACTTCTAGTTTTGTTCTTCAGTTTGAAAACCCCTTTTTGCTGCAGATGTCCATGATTGGAATATTTTAATCATGTTAAGTCTTAAGAGAATATCTATAACTAAGGAATGTATTCTGAACTACTTAAAAAGATCTGCACATATGTAGTAGTATAATAGTGCAAGCATAACAGATTGTCTTATTCTTGTCCTTAAAAACATTTTTTTCAGCAGTAAAATACTGGGTTCATCAAAGATTTCTTGTTTAAGGTGGTTTTGGTGATGGATGCAGATAAACAGCCCTCAGAAAGAGATGACTTCTTCCTGGGGGTAAGATGTATCCATGTTTCTATGGTTACTGCTGTTCCCCAAGGTGTTTAATTCTAACTTTATTTTTTAATGTAAAGGCTATCAACTGCTTCTTCATTTTGTACTATCTTCTGGAAATGTTGCTGAAAATCTTGGCAATGGGGTTAAAAAGATACTGGTCTTATCCAAGCAATAGGTTTGATGGACTTCTGACTGGAATTCTCCTGGTAAGTTTCTGGTAACTTTCTACTCCTGGACTTGGTATCTAAACTGATGAATTGGAAGTGCTAGTTAGATTGCTGTTTTTCTTGACACTTTTCAGTGTGCTGAATTAAACTACTTAAGCCAGTGTTCTGGTTTTCAGTGGCTTGATTAGCTTGGTAATGATGGTATGACTGGTATTCTTTTGGAGGTAGGCTTTGAAATTGGGGAAGTAAGCTTTCTTGTAGGCAGCCTTTTGTTTGGAGAAGTTAAATTCTGAAAGAAATATCACATAAGAAAGTTTCTTGTGTACTTAAAGATCACTCTATTTTTTGAATAAAAATGTAGCAGAAGATAAATTATTACTTGATAAATTTATTCTTTTTGGTAAAAGCTTGGAGCTTGTACAGCAGGTGAGGCCAACCTAAAAAGAGTTGGCTGTACAGCTGCTATTACCACTGAGGTGGGTATGTGCTTTGGATTAATTTGGGTAATTTATAGCCAACTTCAAGGTTTATGGCAATTTCGAAGTTTTAAAGTGAGTCAAATTAATGGTTTTAAAGCTTACGAGAATGTTTATTCACAATAAATTTCAATAGCTTTTGAAACTCTGAATTACAAAACACTGTTTTAACTTTTTTGCCTAATCAAAGGTTTTAGAGATTGCAACTTTTGCTGTCTATGGATTTCCTCATCCTGGCTGGTATGTGTTCTCATGAATTTTTACCCTTTTCCTGGCTGTTGGGGGTAGGGTGCCATGTCACATACAAACACATTTTATATATGTGTACGTGTTTCCCCACACACACTTAGGTCATTATGTTAAGATATGTTAACTCCTATGTTACCAATGAGTTTTGTGTTGTCTTTTCTCACTACCACCTGCCTGCATTGCTGGCATGACAATGTGTGTGTTAACCAAAACTCAGGCTGAGATTTAAGGTGTGTGCATATTGCTTGAGGAATATATGCATAAGGGAAAAGTCTGGCAAGCCGGTTGGTTAGCCTAGTGCTTTTTTGGAAGCCTAGCTTCAACCACACACCTTGAGGGATTAATGTGTGTTTTTTGTCTAGCTAGCAAGTTCCTGAAGTATCTTGCTATAGCAGTAACCCTGGTTGGCTTGGTTTTTCTGAAGGGACTCTTTGGAGCTACTGTGAGAAGGAAGGCCTGTTACCTAGGCACATTAGTAAAAACATCTGCTTTGAAGAACATATTTCAGGTGTGAAGCAATCTTAAGAATTCTGTAGTCTGTCCTCTTGCTCAAGACAGGATTAGCTGTGATATTAGACCAGGTCATTCAAAGCTTCATCCAGTTGGGTCTTAAACCTCCAATGCTAAACCTCACTGGGCAAGCTCTGCCACTGTCAGACTGTCCTTGTTTAAAAATTCTTTCTTGTGACCAGTGTGAGCTTGCCTTGTTTCAGCTTAAGCTCACTGTCCTTTCCCCTCCTGCTGTACCCCACTGAGAACAGCCGGGCTCCATCTTCTTGGGACCTCCAAGTAGGTTTTGCAAGACCCCTCCAAAACCACCTGTTTTCCAGGCTGAACGAGTCCAGCTTCCTCAGCCTCTCCTTTTATGGCAGGTGTTCCAGCCTCTCACCATCTTCTTGGTCCTCTCTGACCCATGTATCAGTTCAACAATATCCTTATGTTGTGGGGTGGAGGCAGAATTAACTCTGCTAATCTGGTCAGTGATAGATTGAGGAGTATTTATATATGGAAATAAAACTTTTTTTCACAGAACTTTGAATACCACAGATGTCAACCAAAAGTTGTAGGGAACTTGCAGCTACCTGCAGCCCAAGAAACTTTACTTGTGTCTTTCTATCACAGGTGCTTCTCTAATTTGTTGTGTATTCTTTGTCTTCCCTAGGAGACCTGAGTTCATGGGCTTGCTGTCCCTGTGGGATATGGTTCGACTCGTGAACATGCTAATTGTATTCAGGTTCCTGCGGATTATTCCTAATATGAAGGTGCCTTTTTTCCCCCTCCCCATTGCTGATTTCTTTTAGTTGAATAATAAATCCAGTTACAGCCTCTTAGAATAATATGGAATAACTTGTTATTCCTTGTCTGGGTGGGATTACAACCTGAGCTGTCTGTCCATACTGTAATGTGGCTTCTCATTAACTTTCTTTTTAGCTGTTTTTATCTGTTGAGATAGCAGGGAAGTTCTGCTTATCTCATTGCAATTGATGCTGATACTCTCAAGTGGATAGAGAAACACATCCAGAAATACTTGCCAAGCTTGTATTGGGCTCCATTTTTAATCAGATGAGTCCTTGAAGACCTAGTACTCAAAACATGGTAGGCTTTCTCTCACCTGATGTTGACAGACCTTTTGGTCATGCAAATGATTATTTGGGAAGAAGTCTCCTTTGCACTTGCTGTTTAGATTGCAACTTGAATTTGTTTCCACAATACCCATATTTGAATTTGAAATCACTTTGGTTTGTTACAATCCTGCACTTAAGTGCTTGAAACCTAAGCCCAGATTCATGTCAGCTATCTAACTGAGGTAATTAGATGCCATAGTGTCAGTGAAAAGTGTCAACTAAAAATCACTTGGATCAGTTCTAGATAATAGTGTGCATGGAAGTAGTATTGTTCACTAATGTTATGTACCTTAGGGAAATATCATTTTACAAAAGGTGATAGTGTTTAGATATGCATCACTTTGCTAGTTGGCATTTCTTTCCTTTTACTTTTAACTTCATAAGACTTGGGAGTTTTGTATGTAATAAATGTGAAATTCTTTGTTTTATTTAGTTCATGTCTTTAGTTGTGACAACACTGCTGGATCTGGTTAAAAATTTGAGAGCCTTTGCAGGAATTCTGGTGGTAAGTCACAATGCTAGATGGTCATATACTCCATCTTGATGACTCTTTAATAGCATGCCATGTAACACAGATGTGTCTTCAGCAAAGCAAATTAGGGTCTTTGGATGAGAATCTCCATCAATGGTAACAATTCACAATAGCCAGTCAGTTCTTGGAGCATGTCTTGCAAAGATGCATCCAACCTACTGTTTGGTAATGGGCATCAATAGCAGATGCAGCACTGTGAGTTGCAATGCCTAATATTAGATTTTCTTTGAGGTGTACTTCTAAAGAAGGTTTGAAGTACCTCTTTCGAATTGCTTGGATCAGGCTGCTGCTCTAGTTTAAAAGAGCCTAGTTTCCCTTATCTTAGCTTGCTTGTGTTAAAGTGAATAATTAAAAAATTTAAAGTTTTCCTGGGAAGATTCAGATGGCATGTTGGGACATAAGGCTTTTTTTAAAAGCCTCTGCAATTTGTTTTAGATGTCTGGGGTGCAGAGCATGTTCTCTGCAAGTATGTGATTAAAAGCTTGATCACAAAATGCATGATGTCCATCACTCTTACTAATTTCCTCCATTAGTAGGATGAATGTCCTCAATTTTTTCAGTTGCTTAATTCCTGAGTTTCTAGAGTTGCAGCTATATCTTTCTGACATAGCACATGAGGATATTTTGGTTGGTGTTTTGTTTTAATTCTAATTTATCTTAAATCGAAGTAATACTTAAGGACCAGGATTTACTGTGGATTACAAGTTGTCTAAGAATTTTTTCCAGTGTGTCAAAATGACAATTTTCTTAGCATACAGTTTACCCAGAATATCAGGTTTTGTCATAACTAATCTCTGTTTAACTGTAGGAGAGGGGCTTTAAGTCGCAACCTGCAGAGGTTTTGGTTGCAATTTGAAATAAAAAGGATGATTTGGGCAGAGGCAAGTTGGTATCAAATTTGTGTTTGTAGCACCTGCTACAGGTTATTCCCAAATGCCAGGAGTGTGCCTGGCAGTCCTGCAGTGCTTGTGAGGCAAGCCTCTGGCAGAGAGCTTGTAGTCTAAGCAAAGCCTTTGCCACTTCCGTTACCTTAGTTTGCTTTAACTTGAGGCTAAGGAGAAGTTCCTACTGAGCTTCTACCAAGGTGAAGTGTGGATCCATTATTGGCCGATGCAAAATATATTTTCTAATATTAACATCGAGCATGTACTGATAAACTAATGTAAATTTTACATTATGACTAATGTCATTTTTCAGATAGTGCATATTTTAGATTGTGTTGCATGTTTTTTTTTAAAAAAGTTGACTTTTATTGTCAAGCAAATGCTCCATCATCTGGTAGGCTGTGGAAAGTTGGAGGGTGGAGTGTAGAAAGTGTGAAGTTCAAATGCTCCAGTAGTGTTTGGGGCATCGTGGTTTTATAGCACAGCGTCTCTCTTCCATTTCTTTCCCTGCCCTTCTTTGGACTATTTAGTAGCAAACTAAAGAAATACACTGGTGTATTATACTGGTACTCTCACTTTTAAATTCATCCCTTTTCAAACAATCTTGCATGAATAGCTCTTTACTTGGAGAAGTTAGAAAGTTGTAGGTCTGGAACAATCTTTGCTTTTAAGATAAAATTTGTTAAATGACCTAGACTACTGCTGACGACTGTGACAGCCAGCTAATTAAAAAGTGGTTTGTATTCTTCAAAAGTAGGAGAACAAAGTTACCAAATTCTTGGTGCTATTGAAGGCTTTTTAGATTAACTTTTTTCAAAAGTTATGGGTGTAGTATAATACTAGCTGCTTCTTGCTCTTCAGTTATTTTTTTTGTAAAAGCTTGTTTTCACTGAGTCTGAAACTTAACAGAAGGCTTCCTAAATATATGAACATATTTTATAGGTAATGAACTTTTTTGTTAATAGTTAAACATCAGCGTTCTGAGGAGCAAAACAAAATTAGTTCAGAAAGAAAAAATATTTAATGTATTTTAACAACTTGAAGATAAATAGAGTATTGAAAAGTAATAACGAACATTGTAAAACTGTGCGGATGTGAAGTATCTCTTTTAGCCCCTGGAGTTGTTTTTAACAATGTTCCTTTACTGGTGGAACTAATATAAATTCCATTCTTAATTGCATTGTTTTCTTGTTTAGTCATAGAAATATTCAGAACTAATTCTTGCATATGTTCCTTTTCAGGTGGTTTTCTATGCGTTTGCGATAACTGGCATAATGCTTTTTAAAGGCTCTGTTGTTCCTATGGGGAATATCAGGTAAGGGCCTGAACAAAAAAGTATTTGGAAAGACCATTTTTTTCAAAATGCTAGTGTAGCTTGATCTTCATGCTGCTAACTTACACTAACAGACTAAAGAAAAGGAGAAAAGTATTTTTAATTTGTCACTCCTAAAGCATCTATGTCCTTAAGTTTGAGTAGTTTGTGATTATTATTGCTGAAGCCCTTTATTTTAATACAAAACATCACAGACCTTTCAGACAAGGCACTTAAAAACAAAACAAAGCAAAAAAAAGAAAAAAAAAAAACTTCTGCAGTATAGCATATAGAAAGCTCTGCTTATAAAACTGCATTTTTCTCATAGTATCACCAATGCAACATCTGATAATGGCACTCTGCCGTGTGGGACATATGAGCAGCTGGAATATTGGCCAAACAACTTCGATGACTTTGCTGTGAGTCTGATCATAGGAGAAATCCATGCCCTGCTTTGTCTCTGCTTGTCATTTCCCCTCATTTTCTGAGGCTTTTAAGTATGTAATACAGTGTAGCCACTCAGTTTTTGTTTTCATTAGGCAGCGGTGGTGACCCTCTGGGATGTGATGGTGGTGAACAACTGGCAGGTCTTCCTGGAAGCATTTTCAAGATATTCGAGTCCGTAAGTAGCAGTAATAATAAATACTGTAACAATCCTGTATACATGCAACTTGTAAAGTAAATGAAAAAGAATTACATATGCACAAACACAGTCACGTGATAAGAGGGGTACTGCTTACCTGTGTCTTGCATCAACCTGATTAGCCTTTTTCCTAGCTAACCCTTTATGGATACTCTTTAGCTCATATAACTTGCTATGCTCTGCCTCTGGATGACACAAATCTCATAGTCATGTTTAGGAAGAATTGGAAACTGGCGGGGTAGTCATCTTCTACTGGAGAAGGCTGAATTCAAGTGGAGTTTAAATAGGTTTACAAAATGTATTGGGTGGATTGAGAGCCAGTCTCAGGGAAGAGAGATTAATGAATCATTGCAATAAATTTTGAACTCTTCCTATGACTTCTTTCTGTGGATAAATAGATATAACTTTGGAGATGTCTTTCATTTGTCTGTTATTTTATGGGAATATTTGAACTGGATAGCCTCCGAGTTTAGATGTTTTCCAGTGATACTTGGATAGTTAATGCTTAATGGGAGTTTTGCTGTTTGACTTCTATGAAGTCATGATTTCACCCACTTGGTGAGTTAGTGGTCTGAATCCAACTGAAGGAAACTTTTTTTCACTAAGTGTGCCACTACATTATGGCCCTTCCACAGTTGTGTGTAGAAAAATTTAATGTGGTCCAGGGAAGTCTGGGCAAGTCATGAAAAAAGCCCATTGGGATCTGTAGTGAATGGAAATGAGAACCTCTAGTTCAGAAAGTCTTTGATCCTCAAATGGTTGGAGGTTGAAAGACTACTTGGAGGGAGCCTCATAGGTATTTTGGTATGTTGTTGCATGTTTTTCTATGCTTCAGTATTTGGCTAGTCTTAGAGAGGCTTCTAGGCTAGATAGATCTCTTTCTCTGGTTTAGAATGGCTTCTCCAAGGTTATTTTTCTTTCCTTTAAAACTGTGTTTAGCAGGGGGAGATACTCTTCTTGGATAACTTATTGAAAGCCTTAGGATTTTAGTTCCAGACTATCTTTACAACAAGAAGTAGTATTATTAACTTTTTTTTATAAAAGAAGTGATTTCTTGGCTTTCCTCAATCATTATCAGGCTATCATTATTTACCATTTATGTTGTTTGTTGTCTTTTAATCTTATCTGCAGGTGGGCAAAGATCTATTTCATAGCCTGGTGGTTGATTTCCTCCGTCATCTGGGTCAATCTCTTTGTAGCTTTACTTCTGGAGGTAGGGAAAATTTTGTCATCTGATATTAGATCGTTGAAGACTGTTAACCCTCTCAATGACCTGCTAGAAAAATGTTTCTGTATGTGTTTTTTTTCCACTTTTGTGGAGAGGTGGGAATGACAATGTCAACACTGGGATGAAAAAGAAAGGCTATTCTTCCTAAAGAAGACCTAATAATGTAACAAAAGCCTATATCTAACCATATATGTATTGGAGATTGTTTGGTTAATAGCCAGGTGTGGGAAGGTAAGAACAGTAATGAGAAATGCAATTACCACACTTTTTTCACTGTGAGCATCCTTGCCTTGGTGCAATTTCTTATGGGACTGTGGTATTCATACTAGGTGAGGCTCTAAATGAAAGCCTTGTCTTTTCTGTGAGCATTAGAACCCAGAGAACTGCTTTGAGTATGTTGACTTTATACAAGTTACCTTTTCCCTGCCTCATCTCCCCTAACAGAAATTATGAGAGTCTCTTTCTTGTAAACAGCTGTATTATCTTGCTTGAGACTGTCACAAATCTTGTTATGCTTCATTGATTGTATATATTTGGCATGATAACTCACTAATTATGGATTGTCTTTACGGTACATAGAAAAAAATGTAAGTATTATTGATTAGTTTTTCTCTTGTGAGAACTTTAACGCCAGTTATCTGAGGTTCAATGTTTTTGTGGTTTTATCAGCAAAATCCTTCCCTACCCTGTATTGTTATCCTCTTACAATGTTAATCAAACCAACATTGAAGGGTAAAACTGGTCATTTATTTGGAAGAGGTTGTCCTCAAGACCTCAAGTGAGTTAAAGAAGCAATGCCATGATAAACAGTTTGAATCTCTTGCCTCTATGTACTCTTCTGCAAGTCTAAATGCCTGTGAATTATTGATGCTGCGTTTAACATGAATCTTAGCCGTCTGCCGCAAGTTAATCATCATAGTCTTCTACAAGCTATGGAAGAGTTGGAGTACCTCTAGAGGGCGCTTCACCCCGTATTAAAACCAGTGAAAAACTCTTGGAGAAGTGTGTGTGTCTTATCTTCCTTGACTGCATAGGGAACTAGTTCAAAACTGTAGGCAAAATGGTGAACTTTTAGGCATATAAAGGAGGTGAGATGAATCTCTTGTTAAGCCACAGTGTTATTTGTGAGCAACTTGGGAAAGACTATATCTAGGAATCAACTCTAAATCTTCTGCTTGCTTCTGCACTGTGGAGCAGGAGACTAGGATATCACTGTTTTCCTTCCTCTCCCCACTGCTAGCCCCGACTTAAGCAGTCTGTTTACTCCCTTGGTCTTGATTTCTCAGTGTAATTCAAGACAGTCAAGGGAGCATGAGAAAACCAGAAGCTGAATGCCCGGACTGGAGTATTTATACTATGGATTTAATATGTGTTTTTATATTTGTATATTCTTCCCTAAAGAAGAAAAACTCAAAGCAGGTGAACTCTAATGGACGCTTCAAAAAGTTATTGTGAAGACAGATCTTGCTGAGAATAGTTAAAATACTGCAGGACTTTCAGTTCTAGTGTTCTTAGTGTGTGATAAGAATTTCTTAGCATTCCTGTATAACATACAATTAATAAATATTTACACCTACATAAATGACACTTTAAGAGTGTACAGAAACTTTTTACTGTTTCATAGTAAATTGTAATACTTTTCTGGTTGGTTTGTGCCCATGTTCTACTCATTTGTACAGCCTGTTATGTGTATGATTATGATTACATTTATCTATAGGCTGTGTGTGAACCCTATCAGTATTTAAATTTCCATGTGTTTCAGCTTTGAACTGTCATTCTCTGTAACAACTGTTTAAACAACTGAATATGTAGACCTAATATAGTCTCTTTTCTTATATCATTAGAAATAAGCCTCTTTTTTTTTTTGGTTGCATTTCAGAACTTTATTCATAAGTGGGACCGTCACTGTCATCGGGAAACTCTCTCAGATGTTGAGTACCAGAGGACAGTTGAACTAATGTTCAGGTGAGTTATAGTGGGCTATATAATTGATCTAGTTTTTCCAAACAGTGTTTAGCTTGCCTTTTAAAGGTAGTGTGCTGACTGCAAGGGATAAAAGGCGGGACTCCTATTCTGTACCTGGATTTTACCTGTTAGCCTAGAAAAGCTCAGTAAGTGCTTTAGTTAGGCCTGTGCTTAGCTGGCTTGGTAGCCTAACTTGTGTAAACTCTCTCTGTCCCACACAGAAGAGGTTTTAAAGGGGAATGATGCTGAACAGGCCAAAAAAAAAAAAAAAAAAAGTGTGTTCTTGACTTAAGAAATTGTGGGTGGCAGGTTGAGAGCTGATCATTGTGCGTAAGCGGAACTTCTGGTGCAGATTAGGTATTCAGTAGTGGTATCAGGAACATGTTCTCATTTAAGAAGTTTTTTCAGGAAAACAAATCCATTGACCTCCAGTTGTACTGTACTGTGTGCAGGAAATTACTTTTCTGCTCCTTGTGGGAAAACAGCTGCTGATTTCCACAGCACATCTGTGAAAGGATGGATCACTTGCAAGTGGATTCATCTTTAGGGAGCATCATCTTATTATGTTTTTAATTCCTTGTTTCCCGCTTTGGAAGGGCACATGTAACACCTCAGCATGTGTTGCACAAAAAATGGCTGAGAAGTCCCTTATGCTGCCCCTAACAACTTATGGTTTTTCTTTGTAGAGATGTTTTGGAAGAACCTACAGAGGAAGAGCTAATGGAAAGACTTCACCAGCATCCACACCTGCATTTATGTAGGTGACTGGTGGGATGGACTGATATATTTAGACCTCTATTTTGTTGAGGTTGTCAGCTGGAAGAAACTGAATGGATTTTCTGTGAGATGCTGTAATAGGGGGTTTGCAGGGCAGCATGTAAAATATTGGTTGGCAATTCTCTACGAGAGGATTTTTTTTTATTGTTGGCTTATATATTTTTTTTCTGGAAAAAAATTGAATCCTGCTTTTTGACTTGATTTTAAGTTGCAATTTTTACAGCAATATTGCAGCTGTTATTTTATGATGTATAGGTTTCAGAATATTTTTATTTTCTTTTTTAAGAAGGGAAAGTGTTGAAATGATAGTGCACTTTAAGCATGAACTTTGTAACCACTAAGCCTGCTACTTTTTGCAGCACAAAAATGGAACAACTACTTGTGGTAGGAGAGCATGCCAAGGACTGTGCCTTGCAATTCACAAATGGATTAGGCAGGATGAGAACAAGATACTTAACCCTTTTTTGTAATAATGAAAGTTGAAACACTATTTTTATTAAAACATGACACCAGCATATTTTACTTACCAAGCTTTCAGAAGTAGTTAATCACTTCGAGACACAATTAGGTTCAATTCCTTGTTGTGCTTAACAAAGAGTGCCTACCTGGCAACTCCTTTCTTTGTTTTGATCCAGGGTTCATGCTGGTTGCACCACACTGATAACTCTGAGAACAGTTATCACCTTGAATAGAACAACTGTACTTGTGGCTTTCAATGTGGTAAAATTGAGCTCTGATTCAAAGCAAATATTTTCATGTTGCTTTTTAGTGAGCTCTTCCTTTTTTTCCAAGTCTTGCTCTTCACTGTATTGTATTCTGTGGAAAAAGCTGAAGGGAAGGAATTTTGGCCAGTATGTAGCATCATGATCACTATGAGTCTTCCACTTAAAGTTGGGGGTAAAGGTTGAATGGGATAATTGGGTGCTGAACAGCACAAATTTGCTTTTGAGTCCATTTGGACTTGAAAGTGCTTAACCAGTATTGCCAGTTCTTCTTTTAAGGCTTTGTGGTCATGTGCTGTATACCACTAAGTTTGGTGACCTGGGTAATACTTATTGGGTAATAATTTTGACAACAAATATAGTAGAGGTGCGAATTAGTAATATAGCTGCATGCTTTTCATTTATCTCTTAGCATTCCAGGTTTTTCTGTTTGGGTTTTTGTCATATAACTAGAAACTCACTAGAAAGAGTAGAATTAGTCCATACAACTTTTATACATAAAAATGAACTTGGCCTCTGTGGTGTTGATTACCATTACTTGAAGCACTGGCAACTGAAATAGACTTTAAATGGACCACAGGTGCATTGGCAAAGGGCTTGCTGTGTGTGGGAATAGACTTGCTTCTATTTGTAAGCTGCTCGATCCATTTAGATAACGGTGTTTTTGGAAACTCAAAGGCAAACATCCTAGCTGCTTTTCCAGTTTATCCTCTTCCTCCTTTTTCCTGTGTCAGCGTTCTTCCTGCACTTGAGAGGAAACTTCCTGGGACAATGCTCCATTTGAGCTTAGCAGCGTATTTCTGTATTGCTGTCTTGCTGTTTTTCACAAGTTATGTGGCAATTCTTGTCTGTCTTTACTTGCTAAATATTTTCCTTGTGTGTGCAGGTGAGGGAAAATGTATATAACAAATATGAACTGAGCTTTGGGTCATTCCAGTCTGCTTTTTGTTATCGTGCTTCTAAAGCCATGTTATTTGTGTTACCAGTTACTCACTTGTGTTAAGTTCAGTGACATTGCCATTTTGGGGGGTCCTGCATTTAGAACACACATCAAGTAGATAAAGGCATCAGCACAGTGTTTGCCTGGGTTGTTGGGCTGTTTCTTTCACCATATTTTGTCAGGGCAATTTCTGTTCCTAGCATGTCCTGATTGACACTACTAGTTTATTGGCACTTAATATGGGAGGTTAAATAGTCCTTTGCATTCTTGCTCAGAATTTCTCACTTCCTTTGTTTTCCGCCTTTCTAAATTCTTGGAAAAGTAGCTATATTTGCCTTGCTAAACAGGAAGTGGCCAGTTCCTCTCTGCCTGCGAGGTTTCACCTCCTTTTGTTCTTAACCTTCTCTTGGCCATTCCATACCAGTACAATCTACCAAAGCAACATGAAGTGATGTGGCATTACCATACCTCTCAAATGTATGCAGTCTTTGCATCTGGACAAATATGAAGGGAATGCTTTTAGTCATCTTGTATATGTTTCACATCTGTGTGATAGACTGAGAATGTAACTTGAAGATGGTACAAAAATGCGGTATCTGATGTCAACTCTACTGTAAGATATAAATGACCACGTGATACAAGTCTTATGCAATAATTGTTTAAATCATGAAATGAATGTATGTAACTGGGAAAATTTGAGTTTTATATGATTAAAAATTTCTTAAAATATGGAAGTCACTGAACCGTTAATGTTTCTTGTGGCTTATTTTTTCACCTAAGTACTGATTTCTGTTATGCTTAGTATCCATGTTCCCTTTATCTTCACTAGTTTACATGCAGCTCGCACATAACAGCTTTGTTTCAAAATGTGCATCTTAAGAAATTCAGCTCGATTCTCCATAGAGAGAACATATGTTTAATGTTCAAGGTAAAGTTCTGAATCTTGATGGTGCTGGGCAGCTTTGGCAACATTTGCAGTTCAGTCTTGCTCTTCTGCAAACCAGATGCTTTCAGGAAAGCTAGAATAATACCAACACAGTAGGCGTTTGTCTTCTAGGCATAGCCTATCACCTCCTTATGATTTCACACGCAGTGCAGTGGTCTGGGGCATTCTTACAAAAAAGCTTCTGGATTAGCAGGTGTGTGTGTTTACAGAACAAAGCTAATTCAATGTCAAGACAAAAGGCTTATGAAGTTGATTATCCTGTTTCTGACGATGGCTGTGGTAAAATTCTAGGTGAAGCCTGTAGGAGCTGAAGCAAATTCAACAACAACAACAAAAATCATCTTGTATCTCTTGCATTTTCTAACAATTTACAAGCTGAAGTTCCTGAGACTGAAGCTTCATTTGGACCTCACATTTGATAGCTTATGGTGGATCTACAGTGATGAAATTTTACTATTACTACTTCCTTTTACCCATTGTCTTGGCCTTCACCACCTTCATTCAATATTAATGAATTCCAGAATTGCATATTTGGTGAGAGACTATTTGACAGACAACAGTTTTGATGGTGAAGGCATTCACCAGAAAACCAGAAATAGCCTAAGTTTTGTTCCTGCATGATGAAATCAGGCTCACATTTTCGTAACTTTTTTTTCCTGGTCTGCTCTGAATTTGTATGTTTCAGATTCAGTAGTGGAGGGAGAGAGGAGAGACTACAGAAGTATTTCAGTATTGCTGCTGAAGGAGGTGTTCCTCACAAGCACACTTAACTGCAGAGAATCTTGCCAAGATCATTCTGATCAGAGCTTCAAATAAGACAGAGTAGTCTAGTGACTGCAGACAAAACTACAAATAAAGGGATAAAATGCCCTCTTGAGTGTTACAGTTTATGTTAATCAAGTACTTGAAGCATTTTTTTTCTCAGCATCTTTGTGTTGTGGTGGTATTGTACATCTCTTCTTGTGTTTAGAAAATGCTGACTTTTCATCCCTCCAATATATCTTTTTAGCCTCCAGGAAAACACAAGGACAACTTATGCAAGGTATTCATCCTCTCCATCTCTGAAGTGAGAGGCAGAGGTATCTTGCAGGCTGTATTTGTTAGAATGGCAGGTGAAAAGCAGCTCCCTATTGCACCTGTGCATGGTGCCACATTTGCTTGTGCTGCTGCCAAACATTCCTTTAGTCAGATGAAGTCATTTTAGTCCTACAAGTGTGTGCTTTGAGTTTTTCTTAAAATAGAGCTCTGCCTGTTTTTATATAGACTTTAATTACCTTCACTACATTGTGTTTTTTTTTTTTTTTTTTTTAAAGCTCAAACCAACTCCACAAATCAAGTGGACTTGACTTAAAACTGATTAAGACTGCAGATTACAATGTTTGTGACCTCTATATAGAAAAAACTGGGGGGAGAACGGATAGGACTTGGTTGATACTTCATCTTTAAGCTGTTCATTTTATAGGATGCTACTAGATTTCAAAATGACCTTGATAAAATAGAGGAAGTTGCCAAAATGATTAACGTAAGACTTAATCAGATAAGTCTAGGCTATTATACTATAGAACTTAAATATGGGAATGAGAAATGGGGATTAAGTGGTATTAGTGAAGAAATATTACAGTGCTTATAGGATACTACAATCTGAATGATCTAATGACATCTGAAAGATCAAAAGAAAAATTCTTTTTGAAGAAAATTACTTTGCTGTAAAATTGCATATGAATATGAAAATGTTTTTTGCAAGGAGTAATCTGCTTAAGTTCTGTAAACCGTATGGTCATTGTAGGACAAGTTGCAACTAGCCAAGCTCTCTGCATAAAGATGGGTTACATGGGAAGGGCTCTTCCTGTCTCTGAGTGCTGGGGTCTGGGGGGGCTGCACAACTGCCTTTCCTCAGGCTGCCAGGAAAGGTTTGACTGTCACCTGCTAGAGCTTTGTGTGGCTCTTTGTGAACCTGCCTCTGCAGGGGGATGCGTCAGCTGGTCCCTCAGATCCTGTCCCGCCTACCTTTTCATGACTTCATTGGAAAGAATTCCTGGGGCTGTAACAAATCCAGCTTTTGTTGTTAGAGGATGTGCTGTTGGCCCTTCTTAATGGCTTTCAAATGTTTATAGTGTGCATGTGTTTTACAAGCAGGGATAGCAAAAAAAAAAAAAAAAAGAACCTGGGTTCTGTGTGCTATGCTACTGATATGCAGCCAGCATCCTTGAGTCTCTGGGCTGTTTCTCTGTAGTGTGTACAGCTCTCTCTTCTGGATTCCTTTTAACTGGATTTCTTGCATCCCCTATTTTCTGCAAGGGGTAGGATGTGCTGCCCTTTCAATTTAGACATTTGCCCCTTGGCTAGCCAGCAAGCCAAACAAATCAGGTCACTATTGATTTTTCCTTGATGAAAGCATTTATTTGGACTCTCTGCTTTACCTTGTTAGCACTCATCACAAATGTACACAAGTCATAGATCTTTCTGACTTTGGCTCTTTTTGTCTTTGCTCTCTTGTTTGTAATTTGGCCAATTAATTTTAAAAATTATTACA